CTTTATCTTTCAAATCTGAAGTAGACCACCCTATGGCAGTCTCATGTTCCTTCAATACTTCAATCACTGCCTCCTTATTACCCAAGAAGGTATGTTTCAGAGTTTCAGGAAGCTCTTTCAACTTTAATTTTGGGGCACCATCTTCTTTGTCATCATTTGTTTTCTCAAGAACTTCAAACACTACATTTTTTTTCTCTTAGCAAGAACAATCTTACGCGCCTCAAGTTCTTTATCAAGCTCTTGACTAGAAGATTTTTCTTCCTTCCGCACTTGCTCAAGTCTAAAACAATCAATCGCCTTTGCCAGAAGATTGTTTCATAGAGTCAAAGAAATTGATGGTAATGGACTCATCATTCATCCTTAACTCTAGCTTCCCATTCTCAACGTCAATCATGGCACAAGATGTAGCTAAGAACGGTCTACCCAGCAAAAGAGGTATCTCAGCTCCCCCTTCCATGTCCAGCACCACAAAATCAGCAGGGAAGATGAACTTGTCCACCTTCACAAGAACATCTTCTATTATTCCACTAGGCTTCCTTAAAGATCTATCAGCAAGTTGAAGAGAAACCATAGTGGGTTTTAGTTCTGTGATCCCTAAGGATTTGCAAACCGAAAGAGGCATCAAATTAATGCTAGCCCCAAGATCACATAATGCCCTGCTGATTTTTGTGTTACCAATTTCAATAGGAATGTTGAAGCTTCTAGGATCACGAGGCTTAGGAGGACATTTTCTTGTAATGATAGCACTGCATTCCTCAGTAAGTGCTACAGTTTGGCACTCTTGTAGCTTGTGCTTCCTTGATAAAAGATCCTTCATGAATTTAGCATAATTTGGCATATTGACCAAAGCTTCAGCAAATGGAATATTAACATGAAGCTTTTTGAAAATATCCAAGAACCTTTCATAATGCTTCTTCTGAATGTCCTGTTTGAATCTTTCAGGATACGGTGCCATAGCCCTCACATATTTGGGACTCAATTCGTGCTTCTTCTTTTCCACTGGCTTCACCACTTCAGCAGGTTTTTCAATTTCTTTCTCTTTTTCTAGCTCACCTGCAGTGTCTAGCTTTTCTTTAACCTCAAGAGATGGAAGTATTTTTCCACTTCTAATTGTGATGGCCATACAATCTTCCCTCGGATTGGTGACTGTGTTACTAGGGAAGGTACCTGGAGTTCTATCAGCCATTTCTTTTGCCTGGAAGATTTCAAAGGTTGTGACAAATATTGTCGATTGGTTTGAAATTGAGAACTGAAATTAAAGACTTATTTTTGTAATTTTTGTTTATGAGAAATAGACAATAAAAATAAGAATTGATTTTTCTAAATGTATGAAAAGCATTGTAGCTAGAGCGCACTCACCTTATGATCACCACATCTTATTTTGGATTGACTTACAATATTCATTTATAAATTTACTCGAATAAATTATTATCTAAAATAATTAGTTAAATTCCAATCCCTTGGCAATTTAACCCTTTAATCTCAATTGGAATCCTAATCCCTTAGCAACCCCTCATGAAAATTAAGCAATGAACTCAACAATTTAGGCATCCGCAATTCAATACACATCTATTCCTAGCATGCATACGAAACGTTATCCTACCCCCTTTAAGGATGAAAACCCCAATATTTCTATTTAGGGTTCTACCCCTCAGACTATTATCAACTATTAGAGTGATCAATTCTAATAAAGGGAATATAAATTACGAACAGGGTAGAGATAAAGATAATTATATAAACGAAGAATTATAAATCAATCCAGCGTAAAAAGGGTTCACATAGGGCTCGTGACCCTAACTACAATAAAAAGTACTAGCCAAACATAATCATGGCTAAAAATTCAATATTCAATAAAAGCATAAAATTAAAGAGAAGGAGAAGAAATAAACTTGATCTTCAGATTCCTCTCGGAGCACCGTTGTCGTCTCTCTCAGTAGAATAGGTCTGAATCCCCTAATTCTGTCATAAGGATCCTATTTATAACCTTGCTTCTTTCTTCCAAAATTACCCTCCGCGCAGCACGGTCAAATTTCTCGCAAACCGGTGCCAGTTGGCGCCGGTGTGGCGCTAGTTGGCGCCATGACTCTGTCAAATTCTTCACCAAGTTGGCGCTAGGTGGCTTGGAGGGTGGCGCCACTTTGTTGTGTTTTGGCGCCACTTAGCATGGTTTGGCGCTAAGTGGCGCACTTCCCTGTGTCCATTTTTGCTTTCTTTTAGTTTGGCGTCGGTTGGCGCCATAGTGGCGCTAGTTGGTGCCACTTCCAAAGTACCGCTGTGAAATCCGAAAACTGACGCGGGTGTGCGCCAGTGTGGTGCCGGTCCGCGCCATGTTGCTGGAATTTGTAGTGTGCTACACCCATCTGGAATTGCGTTAACAGGCTTTTTATAATTTTCACTTCTTTTTCCTGTAAAAACACAACCAGTAGGTGAGAAATATTATTGAAAAGAAAGAATCAATATAATTAGCAAATATATATTTAAATTGCTTTAGTATGACTCAATTCTTATCAATTTTAACACAGAAAATCACACTTTCCTGAGGCACATCAGTCCTTGACTAAAAGGATTGTGGTAAGTGGTTATGAATATATGCATGAATCCTTGGATAAGAATGTACATGTCTTGGTTGATTATAATTGTAATGAGAATGACCAATGTGAGGCATTTCTTGTTTGACCAAGCCTGGTGGCATATTACATTGCAGCTACCTAGAGAGGGAGCTTCCATCAGGTAATCCCTTGGTACTGGGGTTAATCCTCGTGTATGCTCCGCCATCCCCCTTGGGAGTAGTGGTTGGAGGTGTATGTTGATAGTGTATTATAATATGCTCATGCATATATGTATGTATAGTGGATACAGAGGATGTACCGTGTCTTTGGCCAGTAGACTGTTGCCTTCAGGCGTTACGGACTTCCACTGGATATGTCTCTATGAGGGAGTTCCAGTTGACCTGGGGTCATGGGGTGTCATCCGTTGAGGAGCACTCTAGGAAAGTCTCGGGTTATATGGATGGAGGGTGCCTTGGTTGATGTTCTGGGAACACTTTCTTGGAAGAGAACCCGTAAGCTATATGCTGAGACCAATAGGCCGGACATTGCGTGGCTTTTGCATAGACCATGCCAGCTTCATTGTATTTTTACTCCCTATGCATCCCTACTTCACTAAATCCCCTTGCTTTATCCCTTTTTGGTTGTTGTAATATGTTTATTGATGTACATCTGAGTGAGCCATTGGATGGAGTAATCTCCAAAACCTCTGGGTTATTGAGATATATCTGTATATCTTACCCCATTTTGGGAACTTTATTTCAGGTCGTAGCAGTGGGGCAGGAGCCATGGGCAAGAGGCCCGTAGGATGAGCATGTGGTTATGGTCCATGTTTTTCCTTTTGAGGCCAATTTCCTGGGCTAGACTTAGGGCATGAAATTTGTATATAGAGTTAGGTTTATGCATATTATTACATTTGTTCATGCCATCTTTTTGCCTAAGTCTAGTTGTACATTTAGCATGCTTTACTTTGAGGTTATTTCATTATGTTGTAATTGAAGGATTATTGTATTATGTTTCATTGTAGAAATGTCAATTGTAATATTTGGACCTTGTGTAATATTGAAGGACAATGTATGATGAAAGGTCAATAGGCCTATTTTAGTTGATGAATTATGTGTATGTTTAAAGAATGCGTGCAATTGGATCAAAGTGATTGAAATGGTTTAAATGCTGAAAATGTAAGTAATGAGACGTAAGCTGTACAAATTGATATAAATCGTGATGGGTTGTAAGAGCACCAAGGAATTGTTGGTCCTTGAGTGCCACCCGTATCTATTAGGTACCCTTGATGATAGATAACACACTTTTGATAAAGTGGGAAAGGTTGAATAAACAAAGGAGATGCTGGAGAAATTTCTAGAAAATGGCAGATTTTGGGTGAACTTTGAGAAAGAATATCTCCCTCCAAAGAAGTCCAATAGGGACTTTCAATACACCATTTTGAAGGTTGAGATGTCAACTATGTTGTGTCAAAAGTTGGTAGCCATTGGAGTTGTACGCAGACTTATGGAGTTAGAAGAGTGAGGACTGCCCTGAATTTCCCTGCACTTGGGGCTCTCGGGTTACATAATTGAGGAATTTACTTCTCCCTCAATTCTTGGTCATATTAGGCCCCCAATATGTCAAATTGAAGAATGAGGTGTCTAAGTTTTGCTGTATAAAAATTTGAGAGAAATTGGTGGAGTGTTTTGTCCGAAATCGTTGAAAGAGTGGGGGCTATTTGGAGCCCTGTTTGAGGTTGGCTGACAACTTTGCTTGTCCAACTTCAAATGGTGATAACCGGAGCAAACGATAACTTTATGGAGCGTGTGATAGCTTGTTGGAAAGATAATTAAGTCTAGAATAATATACTAAAAGAAGAGAGACTTATGACACACGAATTTCTTGCAGTATCCAAAAGACTAAACCATATTCGGATAGGTAAAAATCGTCAAAGTGAGATTTTGGCTAAGTGGGTTTATAGGGACCCCTTATTGACTTGAGAGAAGTATTATATGATAGTTAGGCAATTAATATTATTATTCTGCATTTATTTTTCAGTTATGATCACAAATTTCACTCATTACGTTTTATTATTGTTTTAAATGCTTACGTAATGAAAAGGAAAAAAGTTTACTCGCATCTTTATAAATGAACCACTGTAGTTGTAATTGCGCTTAATATCATAATCAATGTTAACAATATCGGTGTACAACCGGCTGTTACACGTATCATCCTCAAACCAGTGGGCTTATTGAAGTCTCTAACCGAGAGGTTAAGAGAATTATAGAGAAGCTTATCAATCTTTTTAGGAAAGACTGATCTCTCAATTTAGATGAGGCATTACGGGCTTACAAAACAGCCTACAGAACACCACTTGGATGTTCCTCGTATAGACTAATATTTGGCAAATCCTATCACCTTCCATTAGAATTAGAACACAAGGCATATTCGGCAGTTTATTCACTGAATATGGATGAGAAAGCAATAGGAGAAAAGAGGCTGCTGCAACTTGGAGAATTAGAAGAATTCAGAGGAAATATATATGAGAATCATAAACTGTACAAAGAAAGAATGAAAAAGTGGCATGAGCGCATGACAAAACGAATCAGGAACAGAGAATTCAAAGTTGGTCAGAAGGTTTTATTGTTTAATTCAAGACTCAAACTGTTCCCTGGGAAGCTTAAGTCAAGATGGACTGGTCCATATCAGATTATGCAAGATTCAGAAAATGAAGCCATTGAAATTCAAGGGTCTGAACATGGCTGTTCCTTCAAAGTAAATGCGTACAGACTGAAATTGTACTATGATGATTCCTTCAATGATAAAGAAGAAAGTATCCCTCTCTCTGATTCTATTTGAAAGATGAGTAAGATGTCAGCTAAAGACATAAAATTAAGCGCTGACTGGGAGGCAACCCAGCTTTTTACCTTTGTTCTCTAATAAGAACAAAGTTTTAGGGTAGTTAACTGAACCACATCAAGCCCAGAAAAGGAAGGAACGTCTGATTTTCACCTATGCTCCATAAAAATATAACATGTTTCGTGGCAGGAACGTAGTTTTGGGGTGGTTAATTAATCACATAACCCCATAAAAAAATGTACATTTTTAAGTAGTTGTTCATTTTTCCCTGTTGTTTAAGTTCAAAAGATGCAAATATTTTTTTACACAGATGATAAGTTTCAGGTTGCTTTAAGAAGGGGAACATTCCCCAAGCTTGTGATAAGGATACTGAAGCCTTAGGGACACTTGTCTCTGCTGAGTCACCTCAAGGCACGCAAACGTTACCAAACTTGCACTCATTACAAATTTGAAAACATGCTCAGAGAAAAGCAACTGTCCACTCAGCCATTAATACAACTGCTTCTCTTCTCTCTCTCCCCCCACGATTTTGCCCTAAAACCGTTGCATCTCCTCAACCTGTCACCAGAAGTTACCAGCCTTTAATCCATGACCACTCGTTTTGTAACGTTCCCTACCCACTGCTTCTTCAACTTCCTTCCACAACCTCCACGTCTTTAAAACTGCTCACCCTCTCTATTCTGCATGCCTATTTAACTCCCTCCCTCGTGTTTATACCTTATCATTTTCTCATAAACTCAGAAGACCTAAGTCTTATTCTTCTCCCAATATTTCCCTTACTCTTATCTCATTTTGCCCTAATTCTCTTCAACCCAAAAATCATGACAAAAGCGAAGATCATTGTAACACCTGTTTCTGACTATACCAAGAGCCAGAGATTACAGAAAGCAATGTAATGCTCTATCCAGAGAGGTACATTCAGCTGGGGAAAGATGAAACTCTTATGCCTTCCTTCATACATGTTGTACTGATAAACCTTAAATGGCGTAAGTTTGCAATAGCAGAACGACACTTCTATCCATCCCTGGTGGTTAAGTTTTTATACCATGCAAAGAGGCTTCCAAAGGAGAACCGGAAGGATGAGGTGATGGTTCAGGGGAAGAAGGTCTCATTCTCCCCTAAAGCTATCAAGAACGTGTTATCATTACCCAACGTGGACAACTGTCCATACGTAGAGTATATAGACAAGAAAGATAATCTTGCATTTAGTATGGAAATGCATAAGTTAATAGCTTTTGGGAAGCCCACATATGCCAAAGGAGCACTCTGCATGGGTAGCCTGCTGGACGAGGCTAGGTTTTGGTCTCTGTTTGCTAACAACAACTTAACTCTTTTAACCCAGATGCTACTATCAAGTGGGCATTGCAGGTACAGATATATTGCATCATGAAGAGCATCTCTTTTGATGCAGTACCTCTCACTTATAAGAGTTGAAGAAGGAAATCAAGAAAACCACCAACTGCCTTCACAGTCTGATCACCAAGCTCTATCTAAGAGCTGGTATGCACACTCCTCCAGATGAAGATCCATCAATTGGGTCAATTCTTGACCACAAGACTTGGAATAACTTGAGGATCACATACATCGAAAAAGCTCTCACAAACCTCATTGAGGACAATATCAGATATGGAGTTGTTGTGCACAATGAGGAAGAAGATGAGGAAGAAAAAGTAATCGCTGCCCCCAAACCTGCCAAAAAGAAAAAAAAAAACCTCACAACCCGAGAATCCTACATCTACCACTCCAACCACCAAATCCTTTAAATTTGTTCCCCCTCCATCAAAAGTCAAGAAGGAGGCTCCTACTGCTACTGAGAGCAAGTCAGTGAAGAACTCTCCTTCTAAATCTCATCCCAAACCTCCTCGAAAAACTCCTAACAGTAAAGGGGAACGTTCCAGTCAGAGGCTGAAGAGAATCTTCAGCAGTAGAAAAAGTTCAGAGGGAACGACCTCTGAGAAATCCATCACTCTCTCTGATAAGGAGGAGAACAGTGAGGATAAGGTCCTTATTGCCAAAAGTATGAAGAGGAACGAAGTTTCCATGTAGTCCTAAAATTTCTGGTTTCTTTGATGTTCCTTCTTTTCAGGGATCACCTCCTCACTTATGACCACCACCACAAGAAACACCACAACAACCCTCTTCCAGACAACAAGAGGAAAGGGAAAAAGAAAAAGAAAAGCAAATGGCTGAGCAGGAACAGCAAGAGGCTCAGCCACAGAATAAACTAACAAAGGTAAGGGGATTATTCATAGTCCCCCTAAGAAGAAAAATGCATTTGTCCCCAGACAAATCAATTTGGGGGGACCCCTGACTTCTTCATTCATTCGTCCTGGCACCTCTGGGGACGAAGCATTGGCTAGAGCTCTAGCTGAAGAAGAAGGACTTGACATTCCTCCACTGATGGAGGAACAAGTGGCCATAATCCCCTCTACCTCAACAACTTATGAGGTGGCAATCAACAAGCCACCTGCTAAGGAGCCATCATCTTCCACCCCCCAGCTCAAGAGCAATCAGAAAAAGAAGAAGCCAACCCCTTTCATCCCAGTAATACCTCTAGCAGCGAGGAGAAAATCTCAAATAGGTATTGTTGAGATCTTTGAGATGATGGAAAAGAAAATGGCCAAACTGCTTTCTGAAGAGCCAACTGTTCCCCAAATAAACACCTCCAATACAACAGAAGAACTTAAAGCCATGAGGAATGGGGTGGAACAGCTCTCCTCTGCCTTCAACCAATTCCAAGAGCAACAAAGGGCAGAAAGGGAACAATTACTCAACTCTATCACCACAGCTATCAGGAACAACAATGTTGCACCCTCTGCAGTAACCCTACAGGATGTCAGGAGTGAAGTCCGAAATGTAGCTGAATCATTAAAGTATGCTCATTCAATGCACAACACAAGAGCTGAGCTGCAACTCAGACGCCTCCTTAACAAAGACGCTGAGGAACGTAAGGAAACCAAAGAAGCTTTTTAGATTTTTGGCACGTTCCTGGAGGAAAGGATCACTCAGCTGGAGGGCAAGGTGGAATATGTTGAAGGCTAATTGGTGCATATGCACAATGGCAGGGTGATGATGAGAAGCACTATTGAGCATCTCACTGCTGTAGTCAATAACCTCCTAAAAGAAGCTCAAAAATGGTTCCTTGAAGCTTAACTGAAGAAACTAAAGGACAAGCTAAAAGGAAGACCACTAACATAGGAGGAAGTTGATGAGAAGAAGAGAAGAAGAGAAGAAGAAGAGAAGAAGAGCCTAGAGAAGAGGCCACCACAGTGAAGGGAGGAAAACCCTCCTTTTCATTGCATTATGTTATTTTCTTTGCTGCAATTTTTATTTTTATTTTCTTGTTTTATGTTCTTAGTGTACAAATTTTTTCATCTATAGTAGAAAAATCCATTTTTCCTGATGAAATTCAAAATTGTTTTAAGAAAACAGCTTAGTTAAAGTAGCTTGGATGATCAAAGATAAAGAGTAGTAGCATGAAGTATAAAGCTAATGAGTGATAATTGTTATTCTTAAATTGAATTCTGAAGGTAGATAAAGAGAATTGAATTTTACCCTCAGATTTGTGAAGGATGTTGATCTGTGTGACTAGCATGTAAGGAACGAAAAAGCCAAACACATGTCCATGAGAGCGTTCCCAAGGTGTGACCACAATGGGACTTCTGAACTTGCTTTGATACTGTTAGTACTGCAGAGATACTGATAAACCCCAAAAAGATAAGGGCCATCCATCAAACAATCACCTCACCACAACCATGCCAAAACACCTCCATCAAAACACTCACATGCACTCTCATACGCCACAAGGTCATATATAAAGGTCAAGGAATACAACAAAATGAGCTGTAAAAAACAAAGAGACAAGAGTCATAACAAAAGAGGGAACAACATTAGAGAAAATTCAGAGGAAACTACCAAAGAAAAGTTCCATCAAAGAAAGGAAAAGAAGGTAGTCAAACAAAGAAAATGCGTTCCTAATACAAATGTCCAACAAAAATTCTCAGTAGAAAAGATTAACGCTTACGTTCCTTGAACCAAGACCAGTGACTTCCCATACATTACCTTTTTAATTATGTTTCCATAACTTTCTTCATAAAAAGTCCACTTGATTGGAAAACATCACTACCTCTTAGGAAAACTGTAGATAAGCAAGTCTGAAGAATCACACCTAGGAACAAACAGAGAAACACTAACCTTGACTGATCAGTGAGACAAAAGATCAATAACCTTCATTTACTTTGGAACAAATTCTTTCCTACTCAGTAATCTATGGATAGGAATTTGATTTTGAATATGATTGTGTTTCTCATTGGTTAAGATTTTAATGTTGAGCTTTTCTTTGAAATTGAGCAGCTTAGCCACTATTTCTCAGTTGTTTGAGGATAACCAACAATTTAGTTTTGGGGTATTTGATGAGACGAAAATTCGTTTCCATCTAAGCTCATTTTGATGGTAAAATTCCATCTGTTCCTTCATCTGATGATCATTTTTTGCCTTAAAAACACATTTCTAGATCTTGGGAACAAAAGCACCAGAAAGGAACGGATGATGATGTAATCAATTGAGAATGTAAGAAAAGAAGAACAGATTGACTTATTTGCACACCTGCTCCACTAACCCCCTCTCTGACCACTTTGCAGGAAACATTGAAAAGAAGCTTCCAAAAAGCAGAAAGAAGTACAACAGTCAAGCAGGAAGAAACGTGTACAACAGATAATAAAGAGCAACCATTGGGTGAGAGAAAAAGCAAGCATGGGAGAGATAGTAGAAAAAGGCAAATCTCAACCTTAAGTTTGTCTTATCCAACAACTTGCTTCACATATCAGAGCACTATTTGCACCGCCTCTTCATGCAATCAAGGAACAACTACGGCAGAACTACAATTGTGTCATCCACTCTTCTTGCCTATAAATAGGACGTTCCAACACGAAAAAAGGATCGAATTCCTTAAGAATAGATCATTTAGGATAGTTTAAGTTTCTATTTTTCAAGTTGTATAG